AAATTAAAAATATACTTAGAAAGCACTATTTTTTGCGATGCAAATCAAACCAAATTTTTTCTGTAAGTGTAACAGTTTACGAGATAAACATTCATTTATACAGTCATGTTTGGCTAAAAACTCGCTTTTTCACGATTTTCAACAGGTTATAATTTGTTAATAACTTTGAAGCCAGCAAAATGATGACATAAACTCATCATTATTTCACATAGACTACAACATATTACAGTTTCATAAAAATCAGAGGACGTGCTGCCAGAAAGAGATCGATTTGGTGGAACGGCTCGCTTTCAAATGGATTTTTAAATGAGCAAAATTCTTCCACTATTTCCATCATCGATAAACTAGAATCCGCGATCGCATTCTTTTTGCTCATCGGTTTTTCTTTCTTCGCCTCCTCACACGTCTTTATAATCGGCAAACTTTATTTATCCATACCGTTGGATAGGCAATATCGCGGAAAATCAAACGCAAAATGCCCAAGGGTACATTAATCGGTTTGGTCAACGGAAATTGAACAGTGCATCCAGTTCGTCCAGGACTTTTACAATTTGCTTTTGATCTCTTCCTCTCTCTCTCTCTCTCTCTCTCTCTCTCTCTCTCTCTCATCTTACGTTTGTGTCGAGGCAAACATCAGCCTAAGAGGATCGTTATTTTCGACTGAGATTCCTACTCTCGCTCGTTTCATCCTTTTTTCTTTTCTTTTCACGATCAGTTAATTCGAATTACTCGAAGGTACGAATGCACTATGCGGATTTCACCGCTTAGAAGGAGGGAGTTAACGGGTTAACGATGTGAAAAGTTTAAGTCTACGGCTAGGAAATCAGAGGTACATTTTGATCTGATTTCGTAACACCGAGAAGATGAAGATGCGACATTCGTGATTAGAGGTGATTAGAAGCGAATACAGTGCAGAATGTTCGAATGCTGTGTCGATCGCGTTACAGCGTCCGTCTATGAGGTGAATTCGGATTGGCGAGTTAGTAGAGGTCGTTGTGACGTCGAATCGAGGGTGAATCCCGAGGGTGACTCATCGCTGGAACCCCGCGAAAAGCCGGAACTTTCTCTTCTCGAGGAATGTCTTGGGGGACAAAAGGAAGAGAAGGAGAAGGAAGGGCAGTGAGTCATCGCGGTCGCCTGGAACACGTCAATTCGATCTGTCGTGGCGAAGCATTACCGGGGGGGGGGTTTACTATAGGCAGCTGGTAGATTTATTCGTGCAGACTAAATTTAAAAAAGTATAGCGTTGCTCGTAACGGTGAGGTAGGTAGGTAGGTACTTCCGGCTCCAGGAGGAAAAGAATCGCGCGGTCCTCGGAGCTCCGGTCGACCTCGTTCTATCGATTTACCGGGGAAAGCCGAGCAGAAGCGACGCGAAGAAACATTCCGGGCAGCTGCGTTTCCCGTTGCAACGTTACGGAAGCACCTGCGCGACATCAACGATTTTCGTTTGTTTATCGTTTTTCTTTTCGAAATCAGAGTGAATGAAACCTTTCTCCGACTGATCGATTATACAGTATATATGCGGTTTATCTCAGAACACTGAAATATCTCGAAAACTACGAATGATACAAAAAAAGGATTTGTTTAACCTTGCGATAACCTTGAAAAGCCCTGCAGAGGTCACGTTTAAGTTTTTAAACGGAAACGTATATTTTTGAGTATGTATTCTTGTAGCTGATATCGAGACGTTTTCAAAACACTGCATACTTGTGGTTTTTGCATAAATTATTATCGAGATATCAGCTTGCAAGTTTTATATGCTGTCGACGCCAGCGCTGTCCGATGTAGGCACACCGCGGGGACGTTGCTCGGCCGGACTTTGTACATCATGATGACTTTAAAAAGAGCCGATTTTGTGTATGTGTGTAAACTGTTCAATTTGATGCACCATTATCGCGTAAAAAGCACTGAATTTGCAGTCGTCAGAAAGATACGGTAACTGCGATTTTCTATTATCCGAGTATAATAGGATTTCTCAATACTTATTCACTTACTTCTGTTGCCTCTCTTTTCCTTCAGGATTTCTCGGTATGCGACTTTTCTGCATATTGAAGGTTATCGCAAGGTCAAAAAAATACCATAAAAATATGTAGCCCTCTATACCCTATAACTTTCGCCTGAAATATTTTTTTGCATCATTCGTAGTTTTCGAGATATTTCAGTGCCTGAGATAAACCGGATATACTGTATATACACAGGAAAGCCAGCCCCCTCCCCCGCCAACTAACGAAACAACCGTCACACACCAGGCTTTCGGCAAAACATCGAATCCGTTGAACCATCTGCTCCAAAAATAGCTATACTTTTAAAACATACCCACAGCTTTCCGTTCACGGATCACCCTCTGGCCCCGTTTGCTTATCTAACAAGCCGCATTCTCACTCTTCTTGCTTTTTCAATATATCAACATTAACAGCCGTTAAGCATTCCCGTAACCGTATGGATCCGGTAGAATCGCTGGACCATAGATAGCAGAAATAAGGAATGTTCGTTCTAGCCAGACGAGGAATGCATTTCTCACCGTGTCGACCGCAGAGTTACGTGTGACACGCAGGAAATCAAGTTTTCTGAAACTGCAGCGGGACAAGGGCAGAGACGTTTATCCGTCCGCCGCGTACCGGTATTCACAAGCGTAGACGTTTCCGGATGGAAAATCAATTTCCGGTAAAAGCTCGTCCCGTATCACGCGAGGAACACGCTTTTCTTCGTGTTACCCGTTTCATGTTCGTAACCACCGTGCTTTACACATTTCCATGGAAACCTCGCGGTTTTCGTTGTGTGTCTCCTTGGTTCGGGGGTGGGGAATCTCGTGTCTAGCGAATATCACAAGGCTAGGTGCATCTCGATTTTCGCTAGACAGAATCCGCAGATTTTCGATAATGAACGTGCGGTGTGTCGAGAATCGCAATGCATCGTTGATCCTGGTATGATTTTCTCGAGCGTCATATAAATCATGGGCTACCGTAATTCGGCAGGAATTTACGGTCGCGTGATCGTCTGTAGTCTATGGCGTGGCGCGCTATAGAGCTATTTCGGTGCGGGCACAACCAAAGCAAACGTGAAGTGAAAATGGAACAAGCGGTGTATGGGAGTGAACGATGCACGCGGTGCGTAACCTGCAACCACCCCCGTCTACGCAAATAGCCTTGAATAGACTCGTAGCCGATCTGGACGAATCTGCTGTGCTACACCGTGCACCACCGTGTTACAACGGTCGCACGAAACACCAGCTAAATACACACCTACCTATACCTACACATACGTATAGGGTCTATGTGGCCTTCTAATTCTACTCGCGACTGCGCCTTTCCGTAAAATTTTCTTTCCATGTCGTTTCATACCGACGACTCCGATTAAATCCATAAGACGTTCCATCCTCTCTTTCTCTTGACAAAAAAAGAAACGTTCTTTGTTCCATGGTTTGGATATTTTCCAGTCGCACCTCATGAAAGCTGCCGAAAGGAGCCACTTGCAGGAAGCGAGTCGATCCACAGTAGGCAAACGTTTGCTGGAAATTCTCCAGCCGGATTTTTGTACAAGTGCTTGCGATGTTTTCGTCTTCGTCCTCTCGAGTAACGGAGGATGGAAAGAAGAAAACATGAAGGAGGCAGTGTGTCCGAATATGATCGGCCGTCGTCGAAGTCGTTGATAAGCAAAGTGTCGATGTCTAACTGGTAAAAGCACGAGTGTTATACACATAGATGGCCGGCGGTGCGGTAGTCGCTGGCAGCTTGCCAACTACTCGTCGCTGTCGATGCCTACGGTGTTGACCGACAAACAAAAGGGACCTCGATGCATTGTCTTCGACGGGAGCGAATGCAGGTCGAGGAACCATCCAATGACCAGCTCCCATTCGACCGATATTGCATTCCACCAACGACGATCGATACTTCCTAATCAACTACCCCTCTTTCTCTCATACCTGATTCGCCTTTTTCATTCTCACGATTTCGCCTATCTTCAGGAAATGTATCTGGAAACGTTTACAGCTCAAGGATCGACCAATGGCTGGATGGAAAAACTTGCGAAACAATTATCGAGAAGTTCCCTGGCAAACCTATTTTTCTTCCTTTCATGTTTTGTCTCGTTTGTTCCGCGGAATCAGCAGAAAATGCCGGTTAAACGTTATTCGCGTTTACCGCCAACGAACGCGCACACCCACAGAGTAAAACGTGTGACAAAGACAAATCACCGGAAAATCTTGGGAAAAATATATTTGGTCTGTGCGTGTATCGGAGACAGCGACTACTCTAATGGAGTACCTCTATAACCCGGGAGCGAAATAAAAGGTATAATGGAAGCGCGATTAAATTTTGAAACAATTCTAGCTGATATTTCAAGTGCCGTTTCGATTAAATAGGCGTTTTGAGCGGGCGTCGCACAATTTCACAGTTTGTGGAGGTAATCGAAGGAAGATGTTGGGTAGGTGAAAAGTGTCGAGAATGGTTGAAAAGCAGCCGCGATTGACGCAAGCACGAAACAGCAATCGCCAGCTAATGAAAGCTCTCTCTCTCCCTTTCTCGTACGTCAATTTCGTCCTTTCACCTATTATTGACCCCAGTTTACTCCTATACGATTCCGGTTAACTGTCACACAAACAAGTGATGTGGACCCGAGAAGAAAAAGAGCCGGCTAATTTGAATGGCAAAGTGAGGCACGGTAATTTCGAAATACAGTGCACAGGGTTAACAGCGCTGAGGCATCCACTTAAGTAGCTGTCTCGCAATGTTGGAGGCGTTCCGGAAACGCAAATAACAATGTACGCGAGGACGTGCGCTCGCCCCAGATAAGCCACCTTCTTAGATTGCTGCCTAATGAAAATGAATTAAGAAAGAACCATCCTTTACTCGTCAAAATTTGCTGGCGCGTTGCAGTTGAAACGTGCAACGAACAGTATATATATATATTATACAATAGTTATACGTAAACGAAGCCGACGCGGCCCACCACATCCGTCGGTGATCAAAAAATGTTCCATTCCATTTCAGATCTGCGAACGCGACGGCAAGCACGACGGCGACAGCGACGACGACCGCGGCGGTTCATTCTCCGTTCGGTGAGTAGATCGGTTTGACAGTTTGATAAATTGCACGAGAAACGATATAGAACGTCGAATATCGATGATTTTCGATTCACAGAGTCCACGGTCTTTATATCTAACCTAACCATCGTTGCAATTTTCTCCGAGAAGAAAACGTCAGCCGGAAAATGTATAGAGGTGGTTCGGAGCTGTAGCAGTGGCCGTAAAGAAAGACAAACGAAACTGAAATAGTCGACGAGCTTGTAATTTTATTGAAATTTCCTATTTTCTATTCACCCTTCTCGATAATTTCTTTTCCCTGGAGACAGAAAAACCGCTAGATCCTTGCAAGACTCTTCCATCAGCGAACTAGATGATGCTCTCGATTTTCCACTACACCCGTAACTATTCGCCTCTGTGAATTTCTCCGACGAACCACCCTTTCTTATGCATACTTGCATCTTCGATTCTTCTCTTATTTTTCGTGGCAGGACGAAGGGAAAGACGATTTGAGACGAGTTACGCACGATACCATGTGAACTTGAACTGCAAGTATTTAGTCTAAAGTAGAATTTAAGAAGGACTCTACTCTTGGACGGAACCAAAAGCTTTTTCGAGCGCAACTCTTTAAAATGATTTTTACGCCTTTCACGTTCGTCTCGCTAAGAGAGCGGGTAGGCGGGTGGCCTACTCGAGCTGCCAGCTTTTCTCAAAGCGCCCACTATTCTTCGTCTATTGCCGAGATCGCTCTCCGTTTCCTTCCGTTCATATTTTTCATCGAAACGTCGGCTTTTCAACTCGATGCGGTTTTAACCGGCTCCGAGAAATATGTATATGTATTCGAACAAAAAACCACGACGCGACAAAGAGTGACGTGGCGCGTAACAGTGGGGGAAACGAGAAAGGGAAAAAAGTACGTCTTTTTCATTATTTCGCAAGAAAGTGCGGCACTTAAGATGAGCAGAAAGGACGCGACGAAAGAACGGTGTGGAGGGAAGAATATAAAACTGGACTCCGTTGCTCTGCCTCGAAATTACGAAACCACGTAGTTCTGTGTCGTTCGAAACGCGTGTAGCCAAAAATGTACCGCGATCCTGGCGGACAACGAGGGATATTCCGTAACCATGGTGACAAGCTGACTCATACTACGGTGGAAAGTCGGTGGTGGAAACGTATCGAACCTTGGAAAAGTCTTTGATAGAAGTAATCCTTCCTGTCATGACGCGAAAGCATTGGATAAGAAAACCGACATATGCGATGTGCAAAAGATGTGAAAAATAGAAGGGATTAGCGCGATTATTGGTTCCACGGGAGAAATACCTTAGTTTGCTAGTAAAAGAAAACGATATCGATGTCGATCGCGTCAAAATCGGAATCCTAATTCCAGCTTCTTTGAATATCTCCAGCTACAAGTAGGTCAGTTATCGTGAGATCGCATGATTATCTTTCCGGCATCAGACATGATTGTGCTCTGTGAAAATAGAGCCTCCCTTGTTCCCCGTTTCTTTCCCGGTACACAAGACATCAAACGCAGAACAGAAGGATCCGTTTCTTTTTGTTCGGGTCAGTTTCTCGAACGGCTTAGTGTCTCCATGGTATCGCTTCTTTCTTTTGAATCCCCCCGCTGTCGTCGTCATCGTCGTCATCGTCGTCATCGTCGTCATCGAGGAAGACTAAAAGCAATATCCAGCTAGAACAGAAATACTAGCGAAGTAATCATCTCGGAAAAGTAACACCTGCCGCCCGGGAAGTCGAAGAAGCGACTTTGCTAAGTCAAGGGTGAACAAGAAAAAGCTTAGTTTGTTCTGAAATCGACGCGACGGCTATAGTAGCTTTTTCGACGAGCAAAGGCTCTAGGTAGAGAAAAGGTACTTTAATTTCTCGTTATTACCCCAGCGAGCAGTATCCGCACCAAGTAAGTATAATCACCGAATAAGGGTTTACTTCTCCTCTTTCCAGTTTTATCGTTCTCATATTCTTCTGCAAGCTTCGAAAATTTCAATATCGCGTCAAAGGTAAACGTGTGCCATTGTACGTGTCCTAATATCGCTTCGTTAGTGGACGGTAATACAGTCGATCCTTTCCTAAAGTAAACACATCGATCACCGAGAACATGATGGAAACAGCAGGAAACCAGAGATCCTGCTCCCGATTTCTTTTCTTCTTTTTTTTATCATTTTCTCGAGTAATCACGCAACGAACATGGAATACTCAAAACTCCTATTCTTGTATTATACTTCGCTTCCATATGTATAGAAATACACATGCATACGTATGTATATGTAGGTTAACCGCACATTCTTATGTAAACATAAATGAAAATCCTGCCACGACGGATGCCAGATCGTTACTGCATAACGGTGTATGCGCCACCCTTGGAACCGTATTTCCCAGATAATTAACGTCAGCCCTATCGTTTTTTAACGACGGGACAAGGGGTTGCGCGCCATTATATTGACGTCGCCACCAAGATACCTAGAGATTTTTAATTAACGAACAAATTGCCTGGCCATCGTTTTCTTTTCTTCGTCTTTAAACACATTCTCCTCTTATTGAGGTTTTCAATTGTAGATCACAGTTTTCGGCAAAATAGACCTTTATTTAGAAAATACGAAATATACATGTAACGACCATGAAGGACCGAGACACGCGCCGAAAAAACAATCAACGATCGGGCACCGTTGGCGTCCAATAATCCTCCTAATGACATCCATGATTATGCAACGAATCAATAGATGGTTGTAAGGGCACTAGAATTATCACGGTACGCTAGTCCTCCTCTGTTCTGATCCCTTTATGTAACTTGTCTCGGTGATTGTCGATCATTTTCGTTGTCCCCGTGGTCATCATCGTGTTCTCCTTTTCGCGATAAAGGAAGTTGATCGAGGTGTACCCGAACAGATGCGACGAGTAACTTTCTGCGCGAATTTGCGCGAACAATGTGCGCTCCTCGAGCGCGAGCCTCTCTTTTATCTTCTCCTGTGATTCGTCGCACGTCGATCCTTGTCCTGTTAATTCAGCGGTAACTTTCGTTCTTCATTCAGATTAACGAGTGAAGCTCTTCTGCTTACGCTCCTTCAAGTCGCCGTAGTCTCTTCTTTTGCCTCTCCACAGGTAAATCCATTTGCTAATTTGCTCTTCCGTTTTTCGTTTCAGGCGGCGCTGTCACCGCCAAACATGTCAAAGCTTCGCATCGATTGTTCCGAACTGGCTCTCTCGACAGATTGAGAGATCTACAAGAGATAAAGCAGAATACTCCGTAAGTGTTCCGTTTCAACTAATTATAAGTGTGAAATTTCAATGTACCTACGTGCCTTATGTAGTTTCGAATGAAATCTAGAGAAAACGTGGTTGTTTGCGAGCAACTTTCTAAGAAGACTACTTACTTCTAATTACTTCGGGAGTGAGACAACGACAGAATTAAGGAAAAAGGATAAAAGGATTTCGGAGCAAGCGTGACAACTATTTAGGGATTCTCGGAAACGTAAATGGTCGAATCGCGAAAGGAAACATAGCCCCGAGGGTTGGTTAAAATGGTCAGACCGCGTGCTTGATCGCAAGCAACCACGTAAACACACAAGCAAGCACGCACGCACGCACGTATTTTCCCTCTTGAAATTTTATCGCGAAACGAATCCGGCAAAAACGATCATAAAACTCCAAGCTTTATAACCCCTCGTCTCTGTTTGGGAAAAGTGTCAAGGGTGCGTCACAACGGGGAGGAATTTCCAGCTTCCCTTCGACGTGTGTGAGCGTGCGATTTAATTGCTCGTGCAGCATGAATATTCGTAGCGTAACGACTCTTCTAGAAACGTTTCTCGTTCTTGTAGAACAAGATGTCAATGACGGGAAGCTTGATGGGTTACGAGAACAATAACGAGGTAAATCAAGCAAAGTGCAAGAAGCCGTTGAAACCGCTTCCGATAGTGTCCAGTATAAATTCGAGTGGTATCACCACTACCACCACTACCACTACCACTACCGCGACCACCACTGCCACCGGTAAAACGAAAAGACCGCGAAAATCGAGCAGGCGAAATTCCTGTGTAAGAGGACACGTGAACAGTTTGTGGTCCGTCTGGTACGGCATTTTGGCGGTTGCTTTTCAAGCTTACATTGGTTTGAGATACGCGAAAAGGTTCACCGGTAAGTGTCCTCTTTAGACATCTACGTAGATGATATATCCGATGTATAACAGGTTTTTTTCAATACATTCCAGCATATTTATCGTTACCTTGGCCCGCGGACGCTCCCCCGGCAAAGGTGGAATTGTACGCGTGTTTGGTGCTAGCCGGTACCGGGGTTGTTCTATTGCCGGTTCTGCTTGGCGCAGCCTTCCTCAAGCTCGGCAATCTGGCGAACGATGGGGTAAAACTCGGCCGTCACTTGAGCGCGTGCTCGCGCGATCCACCCTCGTCTTTGCTCACCAACAATCCCGATCACAGTAAGTAGGCGTATAACTATACGCGTCTATGGCTTCTCCGCCACTTCGCGTTTCCACCCTTTCCTTTTCTTTCCTTTCGTTTCGAGACCAATCGTTGTATTTATATACACACAGATCACTCGTTCCATCTCGCTTTCTTCGCAGGTTTGGCGAATAATTTATGGCGACACGGAGGTCCCACGGCAGCTTTCGTACATCTTTGCACGGCCATGTGCTTCTTGCTGCCCTCGCTACTTATGGAGGCCAGGCTGATACATGCTGGATTTTTGCCAAAAGGTAGGTAATAACCAACAGGTTCCACCATTCATCTTACATGTCTTTTTGCACCTTACTTCTTTGCCCGTGGAAATCGAGCAAAGTACCGCTGATTTCGAGCTCACGAGCAAATTGAATATGATGGAACGTTTCGTTTTCTCCTTTTCATCCCCGACCGTGACTGCCACTCTTCACGTAAATATAATTCCTTCCAGCACTCTTCTTGCTCCTGGGTTCAAAAGAAGAGTAAAGGATTAGTTTTCGTTTTTCGTCCAACGTAAAATGCAACAAGAATTTTGAATTGAGACGACACTCGCGCGTTATTTGTTGGAGAAATGGGTCTCTTTCGACGCTCATTAGCCTAGTCGAATGGAGATACAAGTGATAAAGTCGTTTAGAATATCATTGAAACGAAGGGTAAATATTTTCTCTTGCATCTATTAGGAATAGCAGAGACAATCTTGCCGTTGGATCGTCGCGTTTGCTTTTCGAAGCAGAATTCGAATGGAACCTATATGCAAACGTCGTTCATTCAGTAACAATCGTGATTGTAAAAGAATGACATTACAAACGTACGCATTTCCTTTTTTCCATGAGGTTAGATATCACGACATCGAGAGAACAACATTCTTTTTCGGAGATGAATTTTGAATCCTGCGTATTTAGCCATTCGTTAGGAAAACTCGGATAGTGGCGGGGACATGCGGTTTCGGATTCGAGACACTACATCGCTATGTAGGATAGAACGACTCGCGCATGGAAAAAGGGGCGGTCGGGATGTAACAGGGCAACTTCGTCCTGACTACGTCCTGGTTCGTGTATTGATCGGCCAGGTGTGTACATACAGTTTGCTGCAGGATTTCTCATTACTTGAATCCTTCCATCTTGAATCGCTCAACCGACTCACCACTATTCTCTGTTCTCCGACCGATTATTAAACACGATCCCTCCTTTCTATCGAAAATATTCACAAGTCCTATTACAGGCACAATCACTCTGTTGCCCCGTATTCGTCCGTTTTCGAGCAGCACTTTTACAGTTTTGCGTTTCGGAAACGATAGAAGCACAGTTTATTGTCGCGAGCGCCCATATATTTATAGTTCGCCTACGATCACGATAACGATCAGACGTTTACGATGTCCTTTCTCTTTTAGAAAAACAAACGACCAGCTCGAACAACTTTTATTTCTGTAAACTGTAACATGTATCAAACATAGTCCGTCCATGTTGAGCTGGTTAAAGTACGTACCCATGTGTTGCATATCTGCGTATCGTATCACGGTTGCGTATCAGTTTTGACGGGCAACGGTGATACAATACGCGGATATGCAACAAATCGATACGCAGCTTTACTGATCACGATCAATTATCGGCGTGTTTCAATTCAATTATTTCAGATAGAATCGTTTACGCACTTTATAGCGGGAAATTTTTACAGTAGTACGAGGATACAAGGTTGGACAAATAAAATTCGCGGCTGTTCCTTGTTACCGAGAACAAGCGGGTACCTATGCACACTTAAGCCCAGTGTCCACGATGCGTCACGTTAGAGACGCGTACGCGACAAAATATCGCTTGCTGTACGCTTCACTGCTGTGCGTAGCGCATGAGATGTGGGCGGCTTCTATTCACGAGAGTACAGAGGCATTACGTTTCGTGTAAGTACAAACGACCGCGGCAATGTACGCTAGACGTCATGACGAATGCATGTTACGACGATAGTGTGACGATGAGATTTCGTGGACAGACATCCACTGTTTCACATTGGTGGCAGCACTGAAGCGTACAGCAAGCGATGTTCCGTCGCGACGCGTGTCTGACGCGACGCATCGTGGACGTTGGGCTTTAGTGTTCGCAAAAGGAAACCGTTCATTCAACAAAGCCCTTTTAGAACGTGTACACCACACTTCTACCCGACTATTATATACACTTATCGATTAAAAACGACGCAATTTAACTTGAGGCTAGGTAATTTTTCAATTCCTCATTCCTCTGTCCCTCCCTACTCGGTTTCAAACTTCGCGGCTTTACTTTCGGGCCCGATCTATCCGGCATCGAGATACGGATTAAAAGCACAAACGTGTTGGGAAAGTTAAGGTTAATCCTCGGGAATGTCATTACTCTCGCAAAGTCTCTCGCAAAGTTAGAATGAAATAGTTTTACCGTCTACATCCGCCACATCTTCCACGTGCGTTTGCGATACCCTCGACACAACCACCTCGCAAAGATATACTAACAACGTTGCAGGGATTACCGAATCGAACGCAATACAGATACTACCTCGATCGATTTACTCGCTTACTTGCCGGATTAGTTTCATGGGGCTGAATTTCTTTCTCTTGTATAATCGGGAATTGAGCAACTACGGTATCGAGGTGAAATTATGCCAGAGATCCTCGTCTAATCCAGCCCAAAACGGAATCTTTTCACTTTGCAGAAGCGATATGGCGTACGGATCTGGATTGGCTAGTGACTCATCGCGATCGACTGGTCGTGTCGAGCTTCATAAATCCGAACGTGAATCTCAGCATTCTAACCGGTTTTATAACACCTCAACCTTTTGTTACCCTGACACCCAACGGCAACGACAACGACGACGACGATGACGACGACGACGATGACGACGATGACGACGATGACGACGACGACGACGACGATGACAAGCATAGTGTAATGAACGACATCACTACTGCGACTTCGGACTTGACCGATATCGTGGTGAAGTCAGTCGAGACAGGAACGCGGGAGACTACCACCAAGTATCTCGGTCTATTTCGACGGACGGGTACCGGTTTACCTACACCTATCGCACGACCATCTAGTACCAGCAAGTCAACAACGTCTACCACGTCGAGAACATCGTCGACAACGTACGCGACTCCTAGGTCGAGCAAAATTACGCCTACAAACACCGCATCCTCGATTGCAACGACAACTACTAGCAGCACAACCACGACGAAGATGACTACGATCACGATGACGCCCACGAACATAGTGAACACAGCGACGTTTGCATCAACGTCCAACTGGCCAAGTGGTTCAAAGAGCACCTCGGCTACCGTGAAATATGGAAATACCATAGTCAGGCGACCGACAGTTAGGACGATCGTAAGAAACAATAGTTTAAAGACTAGATCGAAAACGAAGAACGCAGGAAGGTCTTCGACAACGATCAGACCGAACAACAGAGGTGCTACTGGTGGAAACATGACAGGGCAAAGTATGTCGCTAACGATGAACAGCTTGGCCGATCTGGATCATCCGGAACAGTTGAATCTGAAATTTCAAACTGGTAAGATTTCTCTTCCTTTCCAATCTTTGGTGATAATATTGCGCCTTCTGTTCTTTCTCTTCGTAACATGATTTGATACCTCCTTCAGACGAACCGTATGGGCCCATTACACTGGAGTACTTGAATTACGCAATCGCTCTAGCCGTCTATTCCGTGAGGTATCCGGCGGTTTTCTGGTCGTGTAACAAAGCGCTCGGCACAATTTTCAGTTTCCAGTTGGTTGTCAATTCCGCTCAGAGCTTACTGGCCTACGTTGGAATGTCTGTTCTTTATAAGGCAAGCACGGATCATTTTCAGCGTGCTTCTCCATACCGTTCACCGTACACGTACTAAGATAAACGTTTCTGTTCAGGTTCAAGTGATGGGACCTCTGAAGGTCCTGCCGGTTCTTCGGCAACAATATCGCACTACCGTATCGACCACCAGCAGTATATCAAGCATCTTCGGAGATTCTTACTTTCTCCTGAACCCACACGTCACCCTCGTCCTGTTTGCGCTTTCCTCCCTACTGGTGCTCTGTTCCAGCATGGTCATGTACTTATACGCTTACGGCAGGTAAACTAGATATACATATTTAATTAAAGGAGCGTAGTAACTAAGATAGGATGTGTGCGAAGCATAACATCTCGCGTTGCCTTTTCCCCGTGCAGATTCACGGCGTTCCTGAATCAGGAGCGTGAGCGTCGAGTGATTTTGCCAAAGGAGAATCGGAATAGAAACAGCTGGGTGTACTTTATTCATTGCACCGCCCTCTGCGTGTTCTTGGCAATTGCGATCTGCAGCGCGCCTCTGCTCTACGATTACAGCGTAGTGTATCGGGGCAGTCTGGACGGGGCGATTTTAGCTTGCATCGTGGCCACCGTCCTCCACCTGTTCCTCTGGCTGCTGCTGTGGATCTTTCTTACGATTAAGCAACGCTGGACGTTCAAGCTGAGGGTGACGATCGGCCGTGCCACCGTTCGGTCAGCCAGGTCCGTCAAGCTCGTGACTGACGTGGATTTGCTGTCGGCCAGGGACGACGAGGACGGAATTAGCGCACCACTTCTTGTGGTCGGTAACGGTAGGACTTACACTATAGCTGACGCCTCGCCCAAAAAGGCTATCATGAGTGTGATACAGAAGGCGGCCGTCGAAAGGAAAACGCGCTCTCAAGGTAAAATACCTCGTCAACTACTTCTCGTCTCTTCTCTTCTCTTCCCTTCCCTTCCCTTCCCTTCCCTTCCCTTCCCTTCCCTTCCCTCTCCCCACCCTTCCCTTCTCTTCCCCTCTCTTCTCTTCCCCTCTCTTCTCTTCTCTTCTCTTCTCTTCTCTTCTCTTCATGTTGATTCTTCGAATCGTGTAGGAAACACCGATTCCGTGGACGGTGAGTCGACCGCTGACGATGAACAGATCTACTGGTTGAGACCGAAATTACGCCCTTCGCCAGCTAGGTCGCCGAGCAACGCGAACGGTGTGTCGAGCACGGAAAAGGGTTGGCTGAACAAGAAGTTGAAACCCAAGGTCACCTTTAACGACCTGCCTAGTACGTCCGGCTCGCGGTAACTACCCTCCTCCCTCCTCTTGATGTCTGTCTTTCTGTATGTGCCGCTGCGTCCATGCCCGTGCTCATGCTCGTCTTTTCTTCTTCTTCCTCCTCCTCTCTAAACTGTCATAGCTCACTATTTACATAAGTCAATTATCTCCCGATAAAACGTTATATGTGTTATTCCATGTAATTCTCTGCTTTCATCATTTTGTATTTTCATAGCATTCACAAGCGATTATATTAATCTCCATTCCGTATCGATCCTCGATTCATCTTGAAATTTTGTATCCTACTTACTTGGTCGTACAATGTTGGTATCACGTGCATACAGCGTATACAGACGTTAGCATGAATTATGTGCTTTAAACAAGAGACAACTTCCAAGGTTCGTTAACTCTTTGAGATTACACTTAAATTATCATAGCGAAACCATTAATTTTCTCCATTCTGAAATTCCCACCAAGTGTCGAATAACCGCAAAGGATTAACAGTTTTACTAGCACGTGTAATCATCCACTGTGCCTGTTTCGTTCTTGCCAATAACTCGTCACTTTCGTAATAATGCTGGATAAAATATCTTATTAATAACAATTGTAAATTGTAGCACCAATCCTTCACGATCGACGTTTAAACATCCTTTCTCTTTTCCTGATTGTAACCTGTCTCTCTTTGTCTCTCATCCCCGTTAGTAGTAATCGGTAAATATCTTGTGCGGATCAGTTGTAACGTGCTACGACACGCCATCTTTTAATTGCAGTAATAAGGGAAAAATCAGACGAGGTACCGATGACGCGGGGGGACCTGAAGATGACGGAGATTACGCCACGCTACGAGAACTACCGCTGATCACGTCCCTGGATCCCGCCGATGATTCGACATCCGAGGAGAACAAGGTAGTAGATTTCATCGTTCGTTTCGTCATCCCTTTCCCTCTTAGTCGCCGCGATAACCACCATCGTTCGATTCTCGTCGCTGCATCGTTGCTTCCCTCTTCGGCTTTTAATTTACTTTTATTTTGCTTTGACAGTGGGGAAGGTGGCTGATATCTCGTAGGGACGGTATACCTAAATTCACAAACGTAAGACGGACAAACATCTCGCTTTCTTTCTGTTTTCTCATTTTTTTCTCTCTTTTTTTTTTTTGTTTTTCCTTCACCACATTTCACATTAACGCTTTCAAGTGATATTAACGTTTGTTAATTGCGCGTGTGTTGTTTTTGGTTGTGCACTAACATATGGTAGCATAGATCGCATAGACAATATCGGGTATAAAGATGGCAAAACTCTGTCTCGAATTTTCCAAATCACTCGATTAGGCCCTTAGTAATGCATGTTCGATCTTACGCTTATCCTTCTATCCTTCGAATTTTGTTCTGTCCAAAATAGCAAATAGCGTATCGATTGATGCCGGCACATATGCCAATGTTTCGTATCGTTTTACGCGCAAATTCAAACAATGGGTTCGATAAATGCGCTTGAAACGCGTTCGAGGTACACGATACGTGACACGGTCGTCTAACCATACATTTAGGTACTTATTTACGTGTATATATCCTAGTATATGTATTTGTTTCCTCGATACGTTAGAAACCATCTTGCGCCTTCTTCGTGTCTATAGTTGGCTAGCGTCGTTGCATGTGTCGCAGATTTCAAACCATCATTATACACGTTTGTTCTTTCTTGCCGGCTTTCCTTTCTTTTCATCCGTCCTCTTGTCCTTTCGTTTCGTTTGATTTTCGCGAGATTGAAATGAAAATTCCTCGTTATAATAGTATCTCTACCGTCGCCGAGAAATTGGCATTTCGCTTAGCAATTAATCGTTGGAAACGTTTCAACAGCTGCTCGAGTGCGTGAACGACGACCAAGTGACTTACTACGCGAGCGCAAATCGCGATCTACAACCTTCGGAAGGCGACCCTTCGCCTCTCTTGACTCCAGACCCTTTGCCCGATCCCGCTTCGGAGCCACTTTCACTGCCACCTCCGACTCCAACTTGTGCACCGACTACCGAAGTTGTCACGGCGCCACTAACCACTAACACCCAGGTACTAACAATCTTCTTCGCCTCGTTCACCACGTTTCATCGATTCAGGGCGGGCAGGGTGGGTGACTAGGTGGCGAAGGGTGTGCAAACTTTTCGAGAAGCAGAACGTGTGTGCCTAGCGTGGAGAGACGATCGATACGACGTGTCCGCGCACGTCCTCCCCCTTTTACGATTTTTCAGCGTTCCCGCGAGCAGTTCGGCGATCGTATCGTTCGATAACGATTTGGTTCCAGTAAAAGATTTGCTCACCCTTTTCCCAACACCGCTGACAAATATACACTCTGGTTGCTTGACAAGCATCGTGAACCTCTTTTCTCTTCTTTTCTTTTTTTCTTCGTTTCTTCCTGCAAAGCATATGTAACAACGGTAGGAAGAGCGAACCGGTGAATAAGAAATAATTAACGGAGTAGGATTGTTTCGTTGCTTTCAGACAAACGGAGGACAAACGCCACGATGCTTGCGTCGGGCGGATTCCGGGATGCCGCACGAAGAATTGACGCCTCGCTCGGATTCCTCGAATTCTCCACCGTTGGACGCGGTAGTGAGTGGTAGTAGCGGAGCTGGTTCGGTTGCAGGACACAGCAACACGAGTAGCCACAGCGAAACCTCTTCGAGCGGGGTGCACAGTAACGCCAGCAACGCTAGCAACGGCAGCTGTCAACGCAGAGCGACCAGCGTGGACGATTTGACCGGTGGAAACGCAGCGGGGGAACAACGGCCTGGCGAAGAATCACGCGATCAGTGGCGTAGCTGTTCCCTCCAACGGGGAATTCAACCACCATGCGTGGCTGCTACTTTTTCACCGCCGCACAGTCGTCCAGGCACCAGCCAATCGTTCTCTTCGCCCCAGTACGCGAACCACGTACCGTTGTTCGTCAACGCGCATGCAAACTCGCACGGGAACGCGAACGTCACCGATCTCTCTTCTTCGAGCGGTCCAGGCTGTCCGGCCGTTATCCTTGAGAATCCGAATGAAGCGACCGTGGTGATTCGGCGTAAACTGTCCAGAACGAAGCTGTCGGAGCCGCTGAATCCAAACGAGGAACCGTTCGGCCGTTCCACCAACATGAGGATGACGTCGTTCACGGAGAGCAACGATATCCGCGTGCACGCCTCTTCCGCCACTCTACCGCATTACCCGACCCAACCAGTGGTCACCTATCCACATTGCTCCACTATGCCGTTGCCTCACGCCTCGCACAGCATGGCGGGATCCCACATGGCCGGCTCGAGCGGAAGCTGCGGCTCCGTGCCTCGTCACACCTTCGTCCCGCCGCAGATGCACGCGACGGTTCCGGCGCACACCACTCTACCCTCCCATCACAACGGGGTCAGGCTTCTGCACGCGCCGCCGCTACAACCCGCCGTTCCGAACAACAACCCGTTCGTCAAGAGGTTCCCACCCGTGCCATTGCTGCACACGCAGCCCTGGGCCCTACCCGGCCATCACACTTTCCCCCAGCCACCCCAAGCCAATGGCAAGTTGACCGCTACAGCGCAAATCAGGCAGACCGATCGCGATTCTGCCAACTTCTCCATGGCCAGCAGTGGCGATTCTGACACCTGTCTGCCACACTGAGCCCATCCTACAGCACCTTCTTTTCTCTCCCTTCTCTAGATCCCTCGAGCACCAGTTGCCTCATCCTCCACCTTATACACGTTACACCTACTATATTACATATCATACTCTCGCCATTCTATTCCTTCCTCGGAAGGAAGGACGTCCGACACGCACGGTTATACAATTATTTTCAACGCAAAAGCCGTCTGTCGCGACATCCTTGTAACCCCCCTGTTCTTCCATATCAATTACTATTAATTCTCGGTACAACACATACAAGTCATGCGTAAATCATACGTTAATCTTTTCAAGTTTAAGCGCGAACGTACAAAACTCCTGACAAAACATATCCCGCGGGCCGATGCTTTTCTTTTGTTAGCGATTCAGCCGTTCTATAATACTAGCAAATCAACCAGCAAAATCACGGAAATTACCTTTTTCCTCTTTAAAATTCTAGTCGTTACCGCGCTTTTCCCCGTTCGCCTTCGCACGTCTCAAACGCGTAATCAAGACACAATGCAACGTACAATGTCCGTTACTTGATGCACGTATATATGCGCCGATCACATTTCAAGAGCAAAATGTACAATCCCCTCTTAAGCTTTCATCGCCGCGCCCCGAAAGTTTGTCAAAGGATCTTGGATATTACACACTTTCACGCGTTCGTTCTATTGAACGGAATGATCGAGAGCAGCAGCTAGAGTGCGTCAAGGAACAAATCGATTACTGCCATATTACGAAACTATTTTGTCCTTCTTTCCGTGAGCACACGAAATTGCAAGTTCGCGATATATTTTCAAAGAAGACGACGACGACGACGACGATTTCCTCATAACAAACGAGAAAACGGTTACGACACGGTAATAACGATAATACTATCCTTCCACTATGAGACATACTTCTTGAAAAGTTAAAGCCATGCTGAAATTATTGCTGATACGTTAGAAGAAGCCAATTGACATATTCTTACCATCGATTTTACAACTGAAACTGCATAAGTGCACCGACTAAACGATAGTTTATTTATCTATATAGGTATGTAAACGGTAGTCAAATGAATCGTATCTCATGGCTTTTTCGTTCGTGATATTCTAGTCGCAGTCGGTCGTGTTCTTTTGCGATAGTTAATACGAGTTACTGATGAAACTAGAAGGAACAGCTGCTCAAGTACATACCATGGAGGAAAGATCGTTATTTTTCGAAATATCTTCAATCGTCTTGAACACGACGGTTTCAATACATTAAAGGAGATTATAGAACGGCGTGGCACGGCGCGGAGCGAAGAACCGATTATCCCTGCCTACGTACATACATAAGTACATATGTATGGTATGTCTGTAGCTGTAGCGATGCTTTCTCGAACAAAGGTGAAACGAAGATCGCGATTTGCCGCATACATCGAATAAATCGATCATATGCAGTTGTTTTTTATACGTGCTCCTCGAATAGAAATTTCAAGTGTATTTTTCATCGAGATACTGCAAGACTAAAACATATCGCAGTGGACCGTAGGTATACGTAGTATGTAGCATCGACTCCATATGACGCGTCCACGTGGTTAACGGGGAAACTAGTCGTTACTTTTGATGAAATGAAACGAAACTAAACGAAATGAAACGAAATATAGGACGTACACACTTGTTCATAGATATTTTCTTACATTTTCCACCAACTAGTGAAAATGTAAAGTTGCGTAGTTGCGAATAGAAGCAAATCGGCCAGATTAACCGAAACGCGAACTGCAACGCGATTTTCTAACCACAAAGAAATCTTTGGTTATCTGGACGGACGTTAGACGAGAAATTTCTCAAACTTTTTATACCAAAGATAGTGATCGGATAGTTGATGAACCGTGACGCGAGCAAACTCAAAGATTCCAATCTATTCTTCTAACAAGATCAAAAGCATCGAAACGATTGCACAGTTGAAGCTTTACGGTATCGACAAGGGGAAGAATATTTTTTTACTTTTGCTATGGCGTATCGATAACATATGTAGCTCTATCATTTCCCTTTGCTACTTGTCGCTTCAGATCTGCAAAATCTAACACTCGCTATTAGGTACCTCCGTTTCTACACGGTAACTTTCTTCCTCTAGAGCTTTTCTAACGAGCAACGCACCTCGAATCGTAGAGTTGTCGGAAATACCCGTTGAAACTGCAAAACGATGAAGCTTTCACTGTACTTTTTGTGTCTATACATATAACCAGTATATGCATGTGTATTCTACACATATACCTATAACTTTTCAAAGCGGACTTTAACATGTCCTCGTAAATACACCAATCGCATACGTAACTCGGCTTCACCTTTGCTCGAATTCTTCTGATAAAAGTAGCGCGTCGACCATCTTGCGGAAAACAGAGAATACTACACGGAGATGGAGAAGTTGAAAGGAGCGAGTTTTCAATAAACAAAATATACGGGTAATCGATCGATTCAATTCACGAAAGGTAGGCAGAATGGAACGACGTCGTCTTCTAAAATTTTCTGGTAAAGAAACGCTTTATCACGTCAATCATACCTACATATCATGGCGAAAAGGACCATACGTTGATAACGACGAGAATCATCGATTGAAATGCGCTACACGCATATGGAACATCTATCAAGGGCGAACAGGAGGAACTTTTGATTCATCGGAACGCTTCTCATTCGCCATGCATCGTCATTTCTCTTTCCTTGATTTAGCTCCGAAACGACAATAATGACAGCTCGCGTTAATTTCGATTATCCCGCGGCCTGTTTCACGAGCTTCAATTCATCATCGTCACCGCTACCACCACCACCACCACCATTGTCATCGTCGTTATCAACCGCAGCATAAGGCAAGAGTAACAAAAGCAGCAGAAACAACAGAACGTTCTTCACAAGCGAAACTTCCCACGGGATTAATGCTGCTATTCGCAGAACTATTTTTTTTTACCGTTTAGCGACTCAGTCAGCGACCCCACTCTATTCGTTTTAGATCCCGCTAAAACTCACGACGCGGAAACGTGGACGATCAAAGGAAGGAAGTTTCTGACCCGGGGAAACCCGTCGACCACGAATTTCGCTCGACTATAGAGCTAAAGTTCGTGCAAAATTACCGAGGTATTTCAGAGCTTTCCCACTCGAGTTGCGTCTCAAGCGTGTGTGTATGCATGCGTGTGCGTGTGTATGACTAGTATGTATCACCACTACGACGAGAGAATGAAAAGGAAATAGAGGGAGAGAGAAAGATGAATAAGATAGGTGAGGAGAGGAGAGGAGAAGAAAGGATTGCGTGAGTAGGTGTGTGTGTGTGTGTGTGTGTGTGTGTGTGTGTGTGCCTAGAGCTGTGCGCGTGTTCGATTCGTCGCTCTCGACTGCTATTTCTCTTTAAAGCTGTAAATAATAATTAAAAAGGACCGCGGGTAATGAAATTCGCGGCTAAGACGAGAGAAGGGAGCGAGAATGAATGATGGAAGGAGAGACAATGCAAAGAATTTAACGGATATGTACGAATATGTAATTGTATAAAGACTGATTAGACTAACCTTGGTATTTATTCCAATTCACAGTTAAACGCTATCGCTTTGCGCGCTCTCGAATACTCACAGAGCACGATACCAAAGGTACTCCCCCCCCCCCCCCATACTCACATACACCACCCCCTGAATCACTTCTATTTTTCTGTTCTACTTTGACGAGACTTTGCGTTTCCCCTCGCTCATTCTTTCGTCTCACGTTCAGACACGTTACGCCCTACAGTACCGAATCGAAATGATCATATATGTATGTAAATACCTACCATCGATGCGGCGTAATGATTCCTCCTCGGTTATATCGCAATTTGCCGGCAATGCATTCTGTTAAGGGGTCGATTCACTTGCTCGTTTGTACCGTCGAGCGGTGTGAAACGTCGATGATATTACAAAGGGCGAATATCCTTGTAACGGCCTAAAGGCGAAATGGAAAAACGTTCACGTTTAATCTACGGCTTCGAGATGGCCAGTACTATCCGCAGCTTTCCCCGATCCGATCCGATGTTTGTTTTTTCCGTCGTTCATTTTTCATCGCATCCTTGGAAACGTACGAACGGATCAAAGAGAAAAAGAAAAATGGTATGCGCGATTATAACAGCGACACTATCAATATTATTCGATACATCGTATAAGCAAGTAACTAGATGTAAACTTTGTATATTCATTTACCAAGAAAATAAAGGTAAATTATTCGACATATATAATACACGGCTAATTTTCATTTACCCCCATTTATCTCCATTTATCCTTTATCACACTTTCTCGGTGATTAACGCGTGCACAATTGTCGCAATTGTTAATCGGTGATAATGTTTTTATTGTTTCAACCGTTCGGATACAGTGGAATGCGTGCCGTTAAACTTTTCTCTTATTTCGCTCAACTAAGTTATAAGGTAGGTGTGTAACGTTGAATCTGACCTTTTTTACTCTCCAGTCCTATCACGAGATACATATACGTATGTATGTATGTACGTAGAAATTTCAATAGTACGCTAACATTTATTGCAAAAGATGCGCAAGTAAACGTCTATGCGTATACGTACGACGCGCGCGCGACGTGGCGTACGTACATGTATGTACACGCGTCTAGGCTTTTTCACTGCTTTGCTACATCCATGCGTATTTACTTTTATATTCGATAGAAATCTTGCACGCACACATACACATACGCTTCGTATATATACGATTCGTTTACATTCATTCAGATTTGTTCGTTGATTAACATTCCATTCACTCGTTCGTCAATCCATTCTTCTTCATTCTTTATATTCATATATGTATTTGTATTGTATTTACTCCTTTTTAGGACACTGATAAAGTACAGTTATTTACAGAACGCTGTAATAAGCTATGACTAGATGTATTGACGGTTTAGGACTGTCTTGGAAATGTTTCTAACAAGAAACGAGGGAAAAAACGTTCTCAGAGGGAGCCCCGATTTCGCGATCGCATGGAAATTAATAATCCAGCTCGATGGTGGCCGCGATCCTATTGCATTCCAATGTCTTTCCGTTTTTTCTACTTTCTTTCCTGTTTTCTTTCCTCTTTTTTTGTTCGTTGTGTGTGTTCAGGAGTGCGCGTTATATCATACTATACTTTTCACGCTTGTACAAAGCGGATACACGCGAGTCGTTCGTTGATCGTTTACTTATAATAATCAGAAATTAAATCTACCCTTAGAAATAATCGCGATCGCGTTAACATTATCGTGCTATAATCGTTCCTCTACAGGTATACATAGTATAAAATGCTAGGCGATTCTACGCGTCTCGTCTGGACTGTGCTACTCGATCGAGTAACCACCAATTAATAACGTAGTCGTCGCTCGATGCTACGTAGACCTATCTCAATGCACGGTATATGCACGATCAAAAGATGTGCGCGCGCTTTTAAACACTACATTACCGTGACGAATATTGGGAAAGCCTGAAAATAATTGTACACCTATCCCCGTACACGCTCTTAATCTTAGTTAACGTTGTAAACGTAAAGAAAAATTTGTCGAAAACCGCGAGAGTGAACGATGATCGCAAACGGAACGTATTTCCGGGTGTTCCCCCTCTTCGCAATGGCAGGTACACGGACGTATTGACTCGACGAAGACAAGAAATATCGCGCGAGCGCGCGCTCCCAGGAAGAAGAAAATTTGTTGAAACTCAACTAATTTTGTTACCAAACTACACGCGCAATATGTGTATATATATATATATATACCGGGTGAGTCACCTAAGACTAGAAGCTGAAATATTTTCAGAACTGTTAATTAAATCGAAAGTGGCTGCAAATAAAAATTGAATGATTTCGAGGGGGACATTGTTTGATATGACTAGCATTTTTGTTAGTGGACGCGTCGAGGACACATGAAGGTCAAGTTTTGTTTTTCAAATGAAATCGTATATTTTTTAGTGCACCACTAACCGATTCAGCTCATCATTCTCTACAAAAAAGTGTTAAGCCATTTATACCGAGAAACCATAACGGATTTTTCAGGCACTGCTGATAAATGTCAGAAAAAATGTTTGAAATAAAAAAAATCATCGGAAAAAATTGCGAAAATATTTTTTCCACAAAAAATCGAAATCACCTTAATTTTTTTAAACGACACTGTGTAACTTTTTTTACGTAGAATTGTAGGTGACACTGAGACGAATTCAATGATGTGCAATATCGGTACATTTGTTAACAACTTGATGAGAAAAACATTTTTAATGTAATAAGAGTCTTTATGAACGCGTAAGTCAAACACTAACGTTATTCTTACAATTTCACTTTACTACTACGTATACTTTGTTGCTAAATATAAACAATAAACAGACTTAGTAATCGTAGTATTGCTAAATATTCCGTAATTTTGTCAGTCTAGTTTTATTTTCAACAAGTTGTTGAACGAATGTATCGATATTGTACATCACTGAATTCGTCTCAATGTCACCTACAATACTACGTAGAAAAAGTTATAGAGTGTCATTTAAAAAAATGAAGATGACCCCGATTTTTTGGTGGAAAACAATAGTATTTTGACAATTTTTATTTTTATAATATATCGACGACCGAGCACTGACGATTTTTTATTTCAAGCATTTCTTTCTCACACTACCAGACGTGAGTGAAAAATCGTGGCGACCGTTACGTTGAACACCCTGTATATATACATATATACAAATATGTATACATACACTACCGGCCATAAGTGTTTACCCACCTTCAAATTTCGTTACTATTCAAATGACAGGTATTTTATTGTTATGAAAATGTCCGTATCATTAAGTCCTAAATATAAGGCTAATAAAAACCATCCAAAATATTCTGTACATACACAATCAGGTACTGTAAATGAGTTTACAGTTTTTAATGAAAAACGACAATTTTAGAGTTCAGGTAAAGAAACCCATTTTTCTGAAATTTTTAAAACGGTCGGTAGGGAATTTGAACGCAGATAATACGGGCATCTTATTCTTCTCAAATTTCATACTGTATTTCATACTGCATTAAACTTTCATACAGTAAACAGTTGATTTTCAAGTGCTTAATAAATTTTGCGAAAATTTCAAATAATGTCGAGGAGAAAAGAATTATCGATTGAAACGCGCGCTCTAATAGTGTCCCATCATAGCACCGGAAACAATAACAGAGAAATAGCAAAGCTATTAAAGTTAAACCGTAGAACCGTGGACTACAATGTTAAAAAATATGAAGATACTGGCAGTTTATCCAACAAAAAGCGATCAGGGCGGCCAAAAATAACCACATCAGCAGAAGATCGGGCAATCACAATAATAAGCAAACGTAATAGAAGAAAAACGGCACCGGAAATTACAGCTGAAATAAATGCATTTCGCCCTGAACCAGTAAGTTCGACAACAGTCAAAAGGCGCTTACGGAAAGCAGGTTTGCATGGACGAATTGCCATGCGAAAACCCCTTCTACGCAAGCAAAATAAAGCAAAACGGTTAGCCTGGGCAAGATCGCATAAAGATTGGACATTGGAAGACTGGAAAAAAGTGCTCTGGACCGACGAGTCAAAGTTTGTGGTATTCGGCTCACAACGGAGGATGTTTGTCCGAAGATCGGCAGGAGAACGAGCCCTTGAATCCTGCATATCACCCACGGTAAAACACGGAGGAGGATCGGTTATGGTTTGGGGTTGTTTTGCGAGCACGCTACAGAGAAATTTTGGAGACGAATGCCCTTTCTTCGGGAACGCGACTAATCGGAGAAAACTTCGTGTTCCAACAAGATAACGACCCCAAACACACCTCCAAATTATGCCGTGGATACTTAGAACAATTGGAACGAGAAAAAAAAATTGTAATTATGACCTGGCCTCCTCAAAGCCCCGACCTGAATCCCATTGAGCTTTTATGGGAAGAACTAGACCGACAGGTACGAAAAGCGGCCCCAACATCTACACAAAACAGGATGCCGAAATTATGCGAAGCAATAATAAAAGCGCGCGGTGGAAATATCGATGAAATTAAAATTTAGATTAATTGTGTTAATTTTTGTAACAAAATTGGAAAAAAACATTGTTTTTAGTGATATATGTTGCACTATTAAAAAATAAATTAAAAAAATTGTTTTTTGATTAATATTTCTCTTGTTTTTGTGTTATTTTGAGGGTGGGTAAACACTTATGGCCGGTAGTGTATATACGTTATAATATAAAATCTACGGTCACAACAGTCAACAATTCATTTTGTTGGGCCGATATCAATTAAACGACTAACGCCTTGTTCGTGCTGGCTGAAGCTTCTTTTCAGGTTTTTCACCTGCTCGACGTTCGAAAATTGGTGGACGACCGGTAGGGAGACGAAAATTGGAAGGAACGGGTAAATAGGCGATGTATCGCATATTGACTTTGATTTACGATAGCTACGTCTATTAAGGGCACCGAAGAATTGATCAAAGTTATGCTAAAGTATTTCACCCTACTGTTTTAGACTTACTACTGTACTATATATCTAAGTAACTCTACTAACTACTAATTGATCACCAACGATGACCACTTCAATCACTATATGTATGCGTTTCGCACCAACTTTCGAACGCTGTCTCATCATCGACGAATCGATCGATCGGATTACTATACTAATGAAAAGAAGAATGTGCACCATTCCTCGCGTATACGCGACCTTTCGTTTCTCAATTAACCGATCAAACGCACGCGCGATTCGTTTAATCACATTTCATTTCGCATGTATTTACACGTGTGAAACACTGATCGATCCAATTTGGTTGATCGATCGATCTGCCTTGATGAACTGTGTTGCACGATATTGATTACTATACATATATGTATGTATATCCGCCTGAAGCGCTAACAATATAACAAACAAAAAGTAGTGAACAAACACGTAGAACGCTTGGTAATCATTATAAATCTAAGCCTTAGTACGTCATCGTATATGTATATATGTACTTGTACAATATATGTGTATAGCTACGGCTATCTATAATGTGTATTTGCACGTACTCGAAAGTGCACGCGTACGGTACGCGTATGTGTAACCAAGAACGGAGAGCAGAGGCGTGCACACGAAATACACGAACTCGGTTTAAGTTAAAACGTCTGCGCGATCTTTGCGATCTTGGTCGGTGTAGACCGACCACCTCCGACTATCGTTCGCTTGAATGCGATCACAGCTCAATTACCACCCCTATCGACGCACGCAGTGATTGCACAGATACAGAAGCGGAGGTATGCTACGCGGTTCTTTACACGCCGATCTCAAGGATCGCGCAGAGTAACGTTGTAGATACTTTCATCGGATAAGGCTGCGTTAATTATTGTCTTTTTTGTCGCTTTCATCGCTCGCGCTTGTTCAAAGTTTACCCCTGCGCTTCTTTCACCTCCTTTCATTAATTCCAATTCCTTCGCGATCCCTTTTTCCCCCGATTGATTTCGTGCTTTTGCTTTTGCTCGCCACCATCCAACCACCATGCGTGTTCCATCGTGTTACTCGTTATTTCGTTCGTCGAATATTCCTCGTTCTCTTTTTGTTTTCCCAAGGAACGCGCGTCCTTCATTCCATCCAACTAATTAGAACGCGTTCGCTCTTTCGATCGCTCGTTCGATCTTTCATCGTCTTATTTCATTTATAGGACGTGTATGTTACGGGATGAAAGAAAGGCGGGCGACAAAGGCTCTGAAGAGGAAACGTAGTGACAAGGACACGGGATCACAAGAAAAATTGTAATCACGCACGCTGTCGAGACAGGGAAACACAGCAGTAGTAGCGGTACGAATAAACGAGCGAACGAACGAACGAACGAACGAACGAGCGTACGATTACGAGAAAATCGATTCGTTGTCGATCGTGAAAACATTCGAAACGTGAACGAAAGATTAGCAGAGTTCTCAAACGTTCGAAGATTGTACACAGTCAGAAGTAGAATAGGAAGAGTCTAACGATAGAAAGGGTCTAAAAGCGCGACGACTAGAAAGGAACGTGTAAACATTGCTCGAGAATGGATACAGGTAAACTACAGTAATAGGTGTCAGTGAACGACAGGCGAAATCGGAACGATCGTCTCGAGTCGGGTCGAGTCGATTGGACATAGTCATCGTTACCGACTCTAGGTTGTCTAATAATTAACGATCGTTCGTTTTAATACTGATTAATGTATTGTCCGTTTAAGTGGATCCAAACATGCAAATACGGTAACGCGATCTCACGACCAAACCGTGCTCTTCGTTTCCTTCCGTTTAAGAAGACACGGTCCATATTCATTACGAACAGCAAGTGGAAGCGAGATTTCACGTTTGTAACGGCATCTTGCTGGATGCATATTTTGCTGGAGGGTAAAGGTATTTATACGAAAAGAAATTGCGTCCTACAGCGTACAAAACAGGACGCACAAGTGGGGATCATCCCAGACAAACGCATTTTAGAATTATGCTTCAATTCCGAGGCTAAGCGGAGATTTGTCACCTTTTCGTATGATTCCTGGTCCCATCCCTCCTTGCTTTTTCTCGACTTCTCGATTCAAGTGGAAATTAGAGGGGCGGCGTTGGGCGGACCAAAGAAGAAAGGAGAAAGGAGAGAAGAAGAGTAAGAAGTAGGGCGGGAAAGAGGGAAAGGAGGGAAAGAAGCACAGAAAAAAGGGGAAGCGAGAAAAAAATCCAACGGAATTTCGATCGAGCGTGCGCCTGGGATTGGTTTCTTTCTCTCTCTCTCTCTCTCTCTCTCTCACGCGCACGCACACTCACCCCTCTCCTCGATGCCTCTAATTGAATCGCGTTGAATTAAAACAAACTAAAGCATACCGGAGGATTCATTTCACCAAAGACGTTTAACTCGTAGAGCGAAGCAAACACGATGAATACCAAATACCAAAGCATCAGTATCACTCCATATCGTCGATCCAGCTTCCAACCATTCAAGTGGGTTGCTACTACCAGAAATATCACCGTCGATAGCAGGGACACCGTCGAATACGTGAGACCTGTCGGTGTGATAAGGAAAGATGGAGCGTAAAAACGTTCGTTTCAATCACGCACCATAGACTCTTCCGTGTTTGTGTATACCTCGACTGGTGACGTTCACGTGCGAACCGGGCTGTATCATCGCAGTTTGTATGAACCATGGAAGCCCCAGGCAAACTAGAATATCGAATACGTTACTCCCGACAGCGTTGCTCACCGCCATGTCACCGAGCCCTTCCTTTATCACCGCTAACGAAGAGAGCGCGTCAGGTACGCTAACACCAGCTGCGACAAAGGTCAGACCCATCACTGTGTCCGGTATGCCAAGGGTGCTGCCTGCAAACAATCGAAATCAAGAGGAAGAGAAGAAGGTAGAAGTAGCAAGTAGAAGCTTCCGAGAGGCCAAAGCGTCCTTCCATCGTTTGTGCTCACCTATAATCGTGATCATCCACACCATAATGTAACTGTAGAAACTGATCCAGATCATGGAGACGCAGAAGGTGAAAGGATACCAGTTGCGAAACTTCTCTTGTCGGCAATCAGGCATGGTAGCGCGGCACATGAAGTGAATCGGATAAACAAGGCCCCAGGTGAATAGTGTCCAGTTGCTGCCGTCCGTAGGCTTTTCCAGAGGCGACACCTCGTTCGGATCTGGCTCTTTCGCTTTGTAATACTCCGGTTGTTTCGGAGCCGATGCTTCGTTCACCCTCGCAGCTCCACCCTCTACGGCCCCGCTGTCGCCACCGGTAGGAGAAATCATTCCTGCGGCCAAACGATCCTTCTCGTATCTCCCCTCTCTAGCACTACGTATGAAATATAATAGAATGCAGAAAGGATCGCGACTTACCTTCGTTTGTTTTAAATTGTTCGGTAACTGGTGAACTTGGCCCCGTGTAAGACAATCGATCCTCTTGCAACGATCTGTAACTGACGAGAGCGCTTTCCTCCGCCGGTTCGTCGTCCTTCGGCAGAAATGGTATATTGTAGGACTTTGCCCAACGTTCCAGTCTCGTGTTAAACGACAACGTAACGCAGTACACACCATACATGAACAACATAAACAGAGACTCCATCCTGCAAAAAAAAAACACGTAGCTACGGTGTAGCGGATATCCTTAGAGGATATCCGCAGATTACAAAACCTTACCAAGATATCGATTCGTTGAAAATTGTACCAAGCATCACGAGAATCGATATCGCGTAGAAGAAACAATCTCGGCAGAGGGGCCACCAATTCAGTTTGGACACTGTTGTGGTGCAAAGTCCGCAAACCGAGATCACGAACATTATATTGAATACCGCACTACCGATCACACCGCTCACCTGCAATCCCACCAGCAACCGATTTACCAATGTACCGATCATTTCCCGTACCGATCGATCTTCTCTCCACTTACTCCGATATCATCCTTGGCAAAGAAAACACCAATCACCACGGTCGCCAGTTCCGGGGCCGAAGAGCCAGCAGCCATAAAAGTTGCGCCGGCAACGTCCGGGGACAAACGTAGCTCTGCGTACGTAAAAGGGAATCGATCGTTTCGCCTTTTGCCTTTCACCTTTCATCTGCTTTTTCTTCTTCTTCTTCTTTTTTTTCTTTCTTTCTTTCTTTCTTTCTTTCTTTCGTTCGTTCTCTTACCTTCGCAAATTCTGTCCAAACTGGAGACAAAGTAATCGTCGCAAACGATAGCCAGACCAAGAAAAGTGTAAACTGCGACCAAAATATGTATGATCAATCCACCATGCTTCCTAGCTGTCGGGCCCATCATCGGTCGCGGAAATTGTTCGATAGCCGGTGGTGAACAATTTTCTCTTCGCGGTCTCCAGGTTGCGCGTTCGTACATCACCGTGGTCGTCGTTGGAACCTAGAACCTCAAATAACCAACATCTTTCCTACGAGTCATGGTAGCATGTATTTATGTATATATGTGTATCAAGCGAGCGCATTCGAAAAGGATAAAGAGGAACACAGCATCGCGAGTCTCACCGTTGTGCTTCGAACTATGTTCGTTAAAACTGTTTCCCCTTGCTTCACGGGAGCATACTCTTGCTTCGTCTGTCCACGTACTTTCTTCGCCTTTTCTTCCGCTGTCCCCGCCGTCCCTGCCTTTGTTACTACCGTTTGCTGCTGCTGCTTTTCTTTCTGCTCCTCCTCCTTCTTCTCCTCCGCTATCATCGTTCTTTTCTCGCGACACGCTTGTCTCTGGTAACATCACAGTTTTCTCCTCTTCGTTCGGCTGCTGTACCACGCCCGTATCCAACTCCATCGTTGATGATTCCAAAGTAGACTCTACAGTCCAATTTTCCTCCCGATCCGTAGAACTGGGATAAGGAGACGACATCTCCTCGACCTTCGCAGAGGTAACATACTGGACCAACAAGTAGACGAGGAAAAGGCAAAAACGCAGTAGCCATCGTTTGCGCTGCGAATTACTTCGTACTTGAATTCGCCCCATTGTCCTCAACTGAAACATACATATTTTACACAAGTTTAACACAGCTTTGTTCGAGCTGTATTTTTCCAATCAGATAACCGGCAAATTTCTTTAACAAAACTTTTCGATATCACATACGCATGTTACGTAAGTTTCATCGATATCCACGATATTCCGCGCCGCTTTTGTCCCACGAGCGTCTTGGGTTTCCATATCAAACGACTTTATATCCTATATCGATCATCAGAAACCTACGCACGCGTGTAATAAACGTTTAAACGATGTTACAAGCGAAAAAGTATATCGAAAGAGAATTTCGTATTCATGCTCCAAACATTGTTTGCATTTTTCTTCACTCCAAGCCCTCCACGATGGGAATAACCTCTCATCCATTGCCCTTCCTTCCTTCCTTCCTTCCTTCCTTCCTTCCTTCCTTCCTTCCTTCCTTCCTTCCTTCCTTCGTTCCTTCCTTCCTTCCTTCCTTCCTTCGTTCCTTCCTTCCTTCCTTCCTTCCTTCGTTCCTTCCTTCCTTCCTTCCTTCCTTCGTTCCTTCCTTCCTTCCTTCCTTCCTTCGTTCCTTCCTTCCTTCCTTCCTTCCTTCGTTCCTTCCTTCCTTCCTTCCTTCCTTCGTTCCTTCCTTCCTTCCTTCCTTCCTTCGTTCCTTCCTTCCTTCCTTCCTTCCTTCGTTCCTTCCTTCCTTCCTTCCTTCCTTCGTTCCTTCCTTCCTTCCTTCCTTCCTTCGTTCCTTCCTTCCTTCCTTCCTTCCTTCGTTCCTTCCTTCCTTCCTTCCTTCCTTCGTTCCTTCCTTCCTTCCTTCCTTCCTTCGTTCCTTCCTTCCTTCCTTCCTTCCTTCGTTCCTTCCTTCCTTCCTTCCTTCCTTCGTTCCTTCCTTCCTTCCTTCCTTCCTTCGTTCCTTCCTTCCTTCCTTCCTTCCTTCGTTCCTTCCTTCCTTCCTTCCTTCCTTCGTTCCTTCCTTCCTTCCTTCCTTCCTTCCTTCCTTCCTTCCTTCCTTCCTTCCTTCCTTCCTTCCGCTTTTATGACCTACCCCTTTTTAATCTTTGCGCACATAAAAAAATTCGACAAATCATTTTTAGCCACGTGTATACCATTACGTTTTCTAACTTTGACCGATTCTTTCCTCGTAATCTTTTGCGCAAATACCCCTTAAGTACAAGTAAACAACACACTTTCCATTCTCTATACGACCAATTTTCATTAAAGGGTGAACGTTCTTTGTAAACGAACAGTTTCACACTTCTCAGTTTATCCTTTTATGTTCTCCCTATTCGCCACACCAGCATGCAACGTTAGATTATGTGGTTGTAACATCGTTTTTACGCGGAATGATCGAAAATCAACCATCAGCGAATACGCTTATGTAGCAAAAAACGCATTTCGAAGAAGTATTTAAAGCATTTAATTGCAAATGTATAACATTACGGGATACACTGAAGGAAATTTCGTATACGACCCTACGATAGGGCTATAGGCGAGTAACTTGTATCCAGTGGAACTAGCGCGTGCAGAGCGAGGTACTAGTGAAAGTGACCCAATTTCATGTTTTCAACGATCGTTAAACGGAAGGGCTACGACACATATTCCGGCTTACCCCTTTCTCAGAAACGTTGCACATTATTCACCAGCGGATTCGACGTTGCCTCAACCTTTTCTTCGTGTTTCGATGCACGTACGCGACGAAAGACGACCAACGGTTGGATGATCGAAGGCAACTCGTAACGTTGCCACTCGCACCACCCGATCGTTTGCGAATATTTTGGGATAGAATCTCACTGTCGATGTCGTCGCTGTAGTTCCAGTCTTCCTAATCGTCGTCCCCGTCACCGTCACCGTCCTCGTTTCCGTCTTTGTCGTTGTCACCACCGTTATTATACACCGACGGAGTAAGATTGGATATTTTTAGGAGACCAAGGCAAACTTTATCGTCGTGTCGTACTCGAATTATTGATTTGCATAAAAGCTTTGGGTTACGGTGCGTTCTCAGTGTGTTTGCGCGGTGCGGTACGGCGCGTCGCGGCGGCACGTAGGCGTCTCGTCTTCTTGGTTACGTAGGTGTCGTGCTTACTGAACCACCCTCGAGTTAATACGACGTCCGGTATCGTAGCTATTCCTCGACGTCACGGCCATCATCCTCGTGCTGACATCTTCCAGCTTTGCAACATCCAC